CCTACAGCAGAGCCGCGTCTTCTGCTTGTTAGCAGTTCCCTAAGCGGCTTAAATATCTGTATTTCATTTTAATTTTCACTCGATTACAAAAACTGATCCCCCCCCCCTTGTTTCTTTCACTGTAATCTGTTTCGAACGTAGAGAAGGAGCGTCTAATAAATTAAATAAATTTTGGGTGGGTGTGAGGGGAAAAAATACTAGGATTGTTGGGGAACGATATTTGGATCCCTATGTGTTTGCGGTACAGAAGCTGCCCCCTTACTTTGCTGACGCCCCCTGTGTCTCAGCCTTCCACCAGCCAGCGCGAAATCCCACCAATGCGCGTTTTCTCTCCTAAGGAGTAGTGGAAGGGATGTATTAAAAGGAATGACGGTTGCCTGTTGGAAACAATGGGAGATTCTGGAATGCCCACTGGGTATCATGGGAGCCAGGAATGTCAATTGACTTGCATGGGCTCTGATGTCTGTAGTACAGAAAGGTTGCAATGAAAATGTGGAGTGGTTTTTGAGTGAAAGTCTCTTGTTCCAGATACACTGGAATGACAGCCCCTGGAATTCGCTTGAGTGTGCTGGGACTGGAATGAGGACATCCGGAGTGGAATGATGGTCTTTAGGAGTAGAATCAGATCTCTGGGACTGGAAGGACAGTACCCAGAGTGGAATGACAGTCCATAGGAATGGAATCACCCTACTGAGACTGGCATGACAGCCCCCAGAGTGGAGTGATGGTCCCTGGCAGTAGCAGAAGTGTTCTGGGACTGGAATAAGTTCCCAGATTGGAATGATGGACCCTAGGAATAGAATCAATGGTCTGAGACTGTAATGACACTTCTCACAAATAAAATGATGGTTCTTGGGAGTAGAATGAGTGCATGAGTGTTCTGGGACTGGATTGTCAGCCTCCAGAGTGGTATAAGGATCCCTAGTAGTACCAGAAGGGTTGGACATAAGACCCAGTTGTTTAATTGAACTCAGACTATCTGTTGCATTTCCTGTTCACTGCTATATTTGTGTTCACTACATCAGTTTTGTTGTACTGGGATTTCAAGAGAAGGGTATGGTACCAATATGCAGTGAGCGTACTAGAAACTGGATAAGAATAAGTGTTGGTTTTCATGGGAATTGCAAATGCAGGAGGAACACAGGACAAAAACAGTTTCCAGGCTTCCACTAGAAATTACACCATCAACTTCTTTCCATGGTTACTGAAGTATGCTCACAGGAACAACATCTGCTACTGTACCTTTTGTTGTGAGCTGATAAGGATACCAGCCAGCCTAGAAGAGTCATGCTGGAACAACTTCACATCAGAAGATTGCATGGTGCTGTGTTACAGCTGCAGGTGACGGTATCATGCAGCTTGGCTACCACCAGCCACCATCAAACTGCCAGCATATTTCATTTCCAAACTCTGTGCATTAGAGATAACAAGAAGGGAGACCTGCGATACTCGGGGGGGGGGAAGCTCCACGTGGAGGAGGAAGCAGCCGCAGGTAAGCCTTCTTCCCCACCCTCGCCCGTCACCAATGGTGAGGCCCATGTGGCTCCCACCAGGCCCGCCAAGCCTTCTCCCCCCCCCCCCGTGGCAGCAGCAGCAGCAGCGAGGCTTGAGCGGCCAGCCCGCAAAGCCTTCTCTCGCCCACCCATGGTGGATGCTGCTGCGGTGGCAGTGAGGCAGTTCTCAGAGCATTCTCTGCACATGCACAGGGAACGCTCTTTTACTTTTGGGGGGATTTAAGTATCCCCCTATAGTTTTTTTTATAGATTTCAGATTTTTCTGCACTTCTGGGGATTGCCCCAAATGTGCAGGAAAATCTCTTTGCCCCCAGGTGCCCCCAATGTGCAGATTTAGATATTCGCATGCCTTGGCTATTAGTATAATAAACCAGTTTTGTTCAACAGTTAATACTGTATGGGTAGATTTTCATTCATGAATCCTTGCAATTGCCATAGTGAACAGTGGGTAGGAGTGTATATTGAGAGGTGGAGGTCAGGCTGTCAATTGGAAGGCAGGAAGCAGAGAACTGTTTCCCTGTGCTTGAGACACTACCAAGCCAGAGGCAGAATACTTGTTGAGATGGACAAATGGTGTGATGTGCTATAAAGGTATTTAGATATAAAAACTTTCACATATGAAAGAACACATCACTTAGAGTGATTTTTCACAGAGACTGGGGTGGGTGCTGTGCCCCGATAGGTCCCCACGGCACGGAGCCAGCATGGCACCAAGAGGCGCACACCGGACAGAGCGCACAAGGATCCCGAGAAACTATCCTCTCTACATGCCAAGTGAACGCAAGTACAAATGTGAGTAAAGCCATGATCCAGCAAACAGTTGATAAATTGCTGCTAGTAAAGCCACCCCAAACAAGGGGAAGGGGGAATGCCCGATCCCGAAATGACTGAGTTTAAAGCGGGAGGCTGAAAGGGCGGCTCGAAGGAAGCAGACGATGAAGGACCAGCAAGAAAGCAATAAATTCCAGACTTACGGAGAACGTTTAAACTTTCCTCTTGAATAAACAATGACACAGTGAGCAGAAAAAATGGCGTCGAAAGCACAGCATTGCCGGCTACCAGACCAGAAGTAACCACAGACTTTCCCAAACTGACTGCTGTAGCTTTGCGCCCTCTACTGGACCAGATGACCAACCTTAACGTCAAGCTGCATATGTTGCAAAAGGAACTCAAAAAAATTTCAGCAAGAAAGAAATAAGGCGGATGTTCCCGAAGCAACAACAGAAAGCGGAAGATGGATCTGAGAAAGTGGAGGAGAACAAAGACACAGAAGAAGAAGAGAAAGATGGGGAAGGCTGTGATACCATCTCGAAGAGTCTGGCAAAATTCTCTGATCCTGTTGCCCCTAAACCATTTAAAAACTAATTTAGACTTTGATATGAGGAAAGGAAATTGCAAAACAGATTAACTCTGATAGCCTGTTTATTTTTAAGGCATAACTTTAATGTTATGATATTTACACCTTTAAAAAGATTATGATTGCTTGCTTGACATTTTTGCTTTAGTAATCTTCATGATCTACTACTAAGATAACAGACCAAGGGAACCTTTGTATGGTCAGAAGCATGACTGACCTTCTGACAGACTTCACACCCAGCGACGTACCTTTTCACATCCCTATGTATGCCAGGCCAATAAAAGACCGAGCTAATTTTAGCCAGCGTTCTCTTAAACCCCAGGTGGCCTGTCAATGGTAAATCATGCCCAACTCTTAAGATTTCCTCTCTATATTTTTCTGGGACTACTAGCTGTTTTCCCGGCCCAGAATTGGAGGTGCTTTTCTTAGGCATATATTCCCGATATAGTAGTCCCTTCTCCCAGATAAACCTAGTGTCTCCTGGCTTGTCCAGTGCAGGCTTGTTCTCCCCCACTTCTTCTCTGCACTCTTTAAGAGACTGGCATTCTTTTAACTCCTGTTTGTAAACTACTGGGTCTGTACTTACAAGAAAAGGCTCATCCCTTTGAATTAACTGCTCATCTTCGCTCCCTCTCATCTCTTTTTCCACCAAAGTTGCTGCCTGAGGCAACTCAGGGTGGAGTTCATTTGCCCTTACTTGTCTTCTTGTCATTACCGGAAGTTGAGACACTGTCTGTTTTGCTCTCAATACTCTATATCGAATGTCCATACCTACAAGAAACTGTGGGTCCCGCCCCTTATGCACTAGAAGGGGAATAATATCACTCCAATCTCCCACTCCTACTTTCATAAATGTAACAGGTTGTTCTTTGGGTTTGGAGTCATACGATCGTATTTCTATTTTCCCTTCTGCCCGGAGCCCTAGCCCATGAAAAATATCCTCGGACACGCTTGACATATCTGCCCCACTATCCCACACCGCCTGAATGTCAATACAGTCTTGCAACCTCACTTGCATGGCCCTTTTTTGAGCACACCAGCTTGCTTGTTCTGGACTAATATAACAGGAAATATTTTTCTTTGGCAAGGCAGCTAACTCGATGTAATTCATCTCTGAACAGTCCCCTGGTTGTTGCTTATAGCATTGGGGCCTTCCCTGCTTTTGTTCATTTCTTACCCCTGTTTTTCCCATCAACCCTCTTGAGTCCCGGGGATTAAACTTACCCCCCCTATCTGCCTGCACTCTTTCACTTGTATCACCAGTTGTTGGTTGATCTTGAATGTCTATTTTCCAGTCTTCGGGCTGGTGTTCCACCCCAGCATTTAGCTGTGCTTGGGACCAACTCGAGACCACTTGCACTTTCGGTTGATGTCTGTCACCTCTGGCCGCCAATTTAGGACATTGAGCTTTGATGTGTCCTTGTTTTCTGCAATAGTGGCAGATCAGCTGGGCTAAACTTACGTTACCTTCCTTAACTGGGATCTTGGCTACAACCTGAG